TGGGAAGTCCCTATGAACTACCTGCAGCCTGCAGGGCGGGCCAGTCTTATATAGTGCTGGCCCGTCCAGGAGGCTGCTCTTGCCAATGCCAAAACATGCCAGACCCTGGGGTTGAAGCTCAAACAAAGGTTGTCTTGAAAATAGGCCAAAAATGGCCTGAGCTAAAACCCTGGTCTGGTGCCTGAGTTTCAGGGCAGGTCGATCTTATGAGGGCCTGAAAATGGTCCTCACTTTCAGGCTGAAAAGACTCAGGGCCGGAAAGGCCCCGATTTAGGCTGAAACGACACAGGGCCTGTAGGCCCTTGTTTTCAGGCTTTCAGGCTGAAACGACACAGGGCCTGTAGGCCCTTGTTTTCAGGCTTTCGGGCTGAAAACGACACGGGCCTGAAAATGGCCCGTGCAGCCTGTTGCAGGCGCAGCATGTAACACCCCCCCCTCCTTATGAAGTCAAACGGGGTCGAGGGCAAAGGTGACTATCTGAAGGTGGAACCTAGACGCGGGTGCAATGTGGAGCCGAAGATACCGGCTTGCCTTGCATCTTGCATTCGTAGCGCGCGAGAACATCTGGAGCTGTTGCTTGGAGTTCCGCACGGGTCAACCAACGGTCAGCTTTGTGGGTGCAGTACGCAAAGTGTACCACCAAGTACTCGGTTGGCCTGTTGTCGTAGCGTCGCTGGGAGATGATGTCACCAACCTCTTGAAAACCGTCCATCAAGGGTGGGTCTTGGGATCGTCGCCCGGGGAAGTCGTCATGTTCCGTTGGCGTGTAAAGAGTCAACTTGGAGCAATGAAAGACCAGGTAGACGGGCAAGTGGGCGAGCACCTGAATGTTGAAAGAAGGTCCTTCGGGTGCATCCCCAGCGGGTGCCACGATCGGCCAAGGCCCCATCCGTTTCGGGAGGAGCTTGCAAGAGATGTCTTGTTCGAGGCTGAATTCCGCGGCGGAAACCCAGACAAGGTCGCCGGCGCGGAATGAACAGGGAAGACGCTGGCGATTGGCTTGTTGGCTCATGCGTTGCTGCGTCTTTGCCATCTGGTCTCGTGCCTTGACAAGGAGCTCTCTTGGATCCGATAGTGCGGTGGCGCCAGATTGGGAGAGGAGCAATTTGCGTAATTGTGGCAAAACTTGGGGTCGACTTGGTAGCCGCGGATGAAGTTGTCTCACAAGTCGTCGTGAATCTGAAAAGTTGAGCAGACTGCGGTACAATGGTCCAGACGCTGTGAAAGAGCATCCACAAAACGGTTTGACTTGCCTGGAATGTGGTCGGGGAAAAGTCAAGCTGGTCAATGAAGGTCGTCCAACGGGCAATGGTGCTATTGACTGTCTTCGGTCTCCTAGAAGACCAATGGATTGTTATCCGTTACCCATCGGAACTGCCGTCGACCGAGAAGAAAATGCCGCCTGCGCTTGAGCGCGTGTACGAAGGCCAATAATTCCTTCTTTCGTGCATCGTCCATCGAGTGCACGGCGGTCACTTTCTTGCTAAAGTACTCGATCGGGTGCCATTCCACGCCATCATGTTGCTCGAGGACGGCACCAATGCCATAGCGGACGCATCAGTAGTGACACGTGTCGGCAGGAGCGGGTCGTAGGTGCGCAACACCTCCGTGGATAGCAATGTAGCTTTGAGAGCCAAAAAGAAAGTTCCCGCATTGTCGTCGAAGTTGAATGGTCGGTCCTCACATTGAAGCTTGGATAAAGGGGCCACGATCTCGAAGTATCCCTTGATGAAGCGTTGATAGTAGTCGGCTAAGCCAAGGAAGGAATGAACATTTGTGACGTTCTTCAGCTCCGACCACTCTTGGATGGCTTGAATCTTGTCTGACAACGGAGTGATGCACTCCGGTGTGACAAAATGGCCCAAGTATTCCAGCTCTTGCCAGACAAATTCGCACTTGTCGCGGTTGGCTTTGTACTTGGCGCGGCGGAGCGTCTCCAACACTCGTCGAAGGTGCTCAAGATGATCCTCCAATGTCCAGCTATAGACGAGAATGTCGTCTAAGTAGACTAGTACGAACCGGTCCAACATCGCAAGGTACTCGTTGGTCATTGTCGCTTGAAAGGTCGTCGAGGCATTGGTGAGGCCAAAAGCCATAACGATCCACTCAAAATGCCCGTATCGTGTCTTGAATGCGGATTTGTAGCGATCTTGCGGGCGGATCGAGATTTGGTGATAGCCCGACTTTAAGTCCAACTTCAACAAGAATTGTGTGCCGCCCAAACGCTCGAGAAGGTCGTCAATCCGAGAAAGAGGTCCCACATTCTCGACGGTTTGTGCGTTGAGCTTGCGGTAGTCGATGCACAAGCGAAGATCCTTGTTCTTCTTTCGTACGAAGAGAACTGGCGCACCGTATGGTGAGCTACTAGCGCGGATCCAGCCCTTGTCAAACAGATCATTGAGTTGCGTGCGGAGAACCGCGAGCTCTTCCTCGCTCATGCGATAGATGCATCCTTTCAGTGGCACGGCACCGGCCTCAAGAATGATCTCGTTGGAGATCGGCCGATCCGGCACCACACCGGTAGGAGACTGGAAGATGTCGGTGAACTCGTCGAGCACCCGCACCACTCGGGGGTCCGAAGACAAGTCCGTAGGTGAAGATTCGGTCGTCGCGACAACTCGTAGAAAACATAGGTCTATCTCGTCGGTCCGCTCGTAAGCGCAAGTGGCCTGAAAAGACTTGGCCATTGCAACTTGACACCGGATCGAGGGGTGCAGAAGAGGAATGGTACACGACACCTTTGCGCCAAAGGCGTCGCAAATGGTAAGTGTCCGCCGATGAAAGTTAACCGTGTGATCCGACTTGCAAGCCAAGGCATCCCCAAAATGATGTCGAAGTTCGTGTCCAAGATGTCAAAAATTCGTCGGTTCGCGTGCATGAGGTGCAAAATAAACCAGCACAGCTTCAATGTAGCGATCGAGGAGTTGTTGTGTCCAATCGTCCGCCAACTTGATTGCCGTCGGGTTTGGCTTCCTTCGAACTTGTGCGCCAAGGCCGGCCCTTTGGATGAAGGACTGGCTGATGAAATTGCCAGTCGCGCAGCTATCCAGCAAAGCGCTGCAGGACGCTTGCCCAACTTGGATGCGGACATAAAGGAGCGGTGTGTTGTTATCATCGTACCGCTACATGCGAAACTCGCTGGCCACCTTGGTAACATACGCAAGGATGTGCCCCACCGCAGCTTCGTCATCCGTTGGCGAAGGTGGTGGTGCATAGAAGGCTAATTATGTGTGGAGATGGGCGCATAGTGTTGTGCATTGCGGTCCCGGCAAGCAGCCTGTGGAAGGGAAAGGAAGCCATGCAAAATCCTCGGACGTCAACGGGTCCAAGGCCTCTATGTTGAACTCGTGCGTCGAATCCCTTGAAGAACCACTTGAAGACGATTCATTGCCGTTGTTGCCGGACGGAGAAGAAGCCACACACACATTTTGTCCTTGAGCTTGAGAACCCAGCGAAGGAACGAGTCGGGCAGCATAGTCATCATAAGAATATACGAGAGGACTGTTGACTTTCGCATGTGCCTCGGAATGAAGAGAGGTTGCTCGCGAAGCAACCAGTTCCGAAGGCGTCGCGAGTGGAGCCGCATCACTCTCGGTGGTGCTCACTTTCCCAAAGGGAATTTGCCTTTGACTTCCGTGGGGCACGTTGCGGTGTCGTGCACTGCGCTGTTGCACCACAAGCAGTGTCAGTACTTAGTACGGATGCGGTACACGCCTTCCGAGATACCGTAATGTGTCCAAGGCTCTTGAGCCGCTGGTCCGGCCCACGGGATGAATTGGTGTGTCTTCGGTTTGCCGCGTCCTCGCCCTCTGGCGGGTCGGCCACCATCCCGGGCGGCTGCTTATCTATCTCCTTCATTAGAAGAGGCAGCCTCGTTTAAAGGGTCGGTCGTTGTAGTTGCTGTGACCACTGTCACTTTCGGTCGATGCTGATCTCTGCCCTGGCTCGCAGCGGACGAACGGCCCAAATTCTTGGCTTCGGTGTTCATCTCGATGATCTACGAGGCTTTATCAAAAGCTGCTCACTTGTGGTGAGCGTCTCCGCAACTTGTGTCAAGGTGTTCTGCAACGCCGGACAACTCCTCTTGATGAAGAAGTGTTTGATGGCAACAAAGGTCGACGGCAAGTTGGGCGTGGATGCCAAGCGTTGGTACTCGGTTATCCAATCCGTGCTTGTCAGGTCGTTCTGATAGAACCATTGAAGTTTCTCGGCTGCCTGAAGCTCGGGCGGCTCCACTTGGAACCACTTATGCCATGCTGACTTGAGATCAGCCCAACTGATCTTCGTATGCAGCTCGGAGACGGCGACATTGTGCGTGGACAACAACCATGCCTGGCACGCGCCCCCTGAGCGGGAGTATAAGTATGCGTGCCGGTTCGGGTTGATGACGTGGTGAATGTCCAACTTCAACTCGAACTGGTGCCACCATGGGATCGGGTCTGTCTTCGTTGCATCGCAGAAGATCAGCAGGCCGTCAAACTTTGGGATGCTCTCGCCAGTAGTGGCGGTCGGACTGGCTGCGGCGGCACAAATCTGCTGGTCAATCCGCTGATTTGTCGCTAGAGCGCCGTCCTTGAGAATCTCGACGTCGATTTCCAAGACGTTGACGCAGTCCGTCAAGTTGGAGGGTCCGGCGGGGGTGGCTGTTGTTGGTTGTTGTTCCAGCCGGCGTACCCGGTCAAGCAGTTCGTCGATAAGTCGAGCCTGCTTCCAGACCAGGGTGTCGACGTAGAGGATGTCCTCTTGTTCTGTTGTACAGGTGGTGACCAAGTCGCTCACATGTTCAGTTGTGGTTGCAAGGCCGCACAAAGCAAGGGGGGGACCCTCCTCTTCAGCAGCCACTGCCCATTCGTCGGCGATGACCTCGATGTCCCCCTCGCATTCGAGGATTTTGTCTCGGCGTTGTCGACGGCCTTCCTTGCTGCCTCAGCGTCCTCCTGTCGCGGCTGTTCAGCGAGGCGACGTTGTTCCTCTGCTTCCTGATCTTCCTTCTTACGTGCGGATGTCGCCGCAGTTGCCCGTTGCTTGAACTCTGCTACCATGTCTAGCATGCGGGTCTCATAGGCCTCGGTAGTCTCGCTTCGCTGCTGATCCATGCCGCTTGTCTTTGAGCAGGTGAGCACCATGCACTGACGTGACCTGCTGCTCCGGTGACTGGTTGCTGATGTGGCACTGTTGCCGTGTCCTGCTGACGTGTCCTGCTGACATGGCCTGCTAACGTGGCAACTCACCAATGCCGCCACAGAGGGTACCCGGAGGCAGATAGAGAAAACCAAAGGGGGCAACAACATATGTGGGGAGGGGTGGGATAAATCGCCCAAATAAGGAGCCACTAATAAAAAAAAGCAAAGTTTGAACTTTGCAAAAAAATTCGAGAAAAAGGAAAAAATAATACTCGTTTGCAAGTTCAGTAGGCCTCCCAATTTCCTTGAAATGCGAAATTACCAATGAGAAAAAAATTCGAGCTTTCAGACCGCAAATGATTTTTCAATAAAATAATTTTGAAAATAAAGTACAAGAAAATTTTCAGAATTACTCGGATGAGAGTACGCGCAGTTTGGAGAATGATAACTGCAAGAGGGATTCCCATACTGTTTAAAAAAAAAATGAATTTTGGGAAAAAATATTCCGGATTTCCAAAAAACAGGAAATTGCAAAAGGAAATCGAAATTTTCGAAAAAAAAAGATATTCTGGATTTTCAACAACGAAATTTTGAATTTTCATAAGAATAACGAAATCAAAAATTTCAGATGTTGCGCTATTGCGATTTTCCACAACAGAAATAGTGAGAAAACATAATCGAAGAAAAGAAAAAAAAAATCGATTTCAAGGCAGTGAGGTCAAAATTGTGATTTTGGGGGGGCTAACTAGTGTGCTCTAATCAATCAATCAAGACTAATCGGCTACTCAGTCCCCACACACGTGTCAGATCAGGTTGTCCTGATTCACATGCGGTGTTCCGATACCAACTATTACATGCCCAGTTGGGCAATGTACATATATAACCAAGGATCCACGATGTGATAAACAGGATTGAATGGACAATGCAGTGCAAGTAAGAATCTCAACAAACAGTTTGCATTCCGATACATACAAGAATGGTGCTTAATAGCGCAGTGGAAGACTTAGATACAAGTCCTGATCTAACCGGGACTGACCTCTCTCACGTAGTGCAACACAACGCAGCAGAATGCTAGGAAACCAATGACCAGCCCAATCAATGTCGCATTACAGACCAAACATACATCATCCACATCACGAGGTGTGAAGGGGCCTGGCGCAACACACAGGAAGAGTGCGCCAGGTTTACATCATACACAGATGAAGAGGAGGGGATCAGACGAAGAGGAAGGGGGAGATGGGAAGTATTCGTTACAAGTCCCAAATAGTCCCTCGTCAAAATGTCTGAAGCCCAATGTCAAGTCTGGATCCAATGTCACCAAACTCTCTCTCTCTCTCTCTCTCTCTCTCTCTCTCTCTCTCTCTCTCTCTCTCTCTCTCTCGTAGTCTGCTGATGCAGTGAAGTTAGATAGCGGGAGGGTGGGAGGGAGATGGTGGACTGAGAAGAGGAAGAAGAAGAACTCTCTCTCTTTCTCTCACGTGCCAGGTACTAACCTGTGAAGTTGGCGCTGTTCTGCAGGTACCTCGAAGACGAAGCTGGAGCTATGGCGCTGCAGGTAAGTATCCCTGGCCTCCGCCCAATCTCTCTCTCTCTCCAGTACTACTCTAGCCGCTACTAGCACCCAGCGCTGAAGACTACTTCTAGCGCTACCACTACTTCTGCAGCGCTCCTCCAGAGTGCTGCTGCCGAATCATGAAGACTACCTCCTGCCTCCTGAACTGCACGCGAAGTGCCTGGGAAGTCCCTATGAACTACCTGCAGCCTGCAGGGCGGGCCAGTCTTATATAGTGCTGGCCCGTCCAGGAGGCTGCTCTTGCCAATGCCAAAACGTGCCAGACCCTGGTGTTGAAGCTCAAACGAAGGTTGTCTTGAAAATAGGTCAAAATGGCCTGAGCTAAAACCTTGGTCTGGTGCCCGAGTTTCAGGGCAGGTCGATTTTATGAGGGCCTCAAAATGGCCCTCGGTTTCAGGCTGAAAAGACTCAGGGCCAGAAAGGCCCTGATTTAGGCTGAAACGACACAGGGCCTGTAGGCCCTTGTTTCCAAGCTTTCAGGCTGAAACGACATAGGGCCTGTGGGCCCTTGTTTTCAGGCTTTCAGGCTGAAAACGACACGGGCCTGACAATGGCCCGTGCAGCCTGTTGCAGGCGCAGCATGCAACAACAAGAAGAAGAAGGAGAACACGGAAGGGAGATGGAGGAGAATCGAGGGAGGAAACGAAGAAGAATAAGAAGAATCCTCACAATTTCGCTCTCCCTCATGGCTAGATACTAATCGGGGTAAAGACGTCATCTTGAGCGTGATGCAGCTGGGAGCTCCCTGAAGACGAACAACAGCGATGGCGCCCAGGTGAGTTGTCCCATACTCCTGGCCTCCGTCGTGATCCTTATAGCTCCACTACTGCTGCTCCAGCAGCATATCAACCCTAGTCTCGAAGTGTTGGGCCTACTGGTGCTGCTGCAGTCTGCATCCTGGGTCTCCCGATCGTAATGCGGATCGACGGTCCAGGATGCAGGCCCAAAACCTGGTCCTGAATCCTGGCCTCATAAGAGCCTACCTAGGTCCCAACTGGACGTCCAGGCTCCTTTGCTGAACCAGCAGAGGTGCCCTCACAAGAGGACAAA